AATCACTTCTTCCTCGAGAAGATCAAGCTTGGGGAGAGGCTGGGCTGTAAATTCTGGGCGGGAAGACTTTAATGTACTTCGAAATCAGGCCTGAAATACCCATAATGTTTGTCAGTCCACATTTCAGTGTTCTTAAGTAAGTGTACAGGGCGTGGGGAATGAAATATGGCAGGTATTTGATTTAAAAAGCCTGCACAGATTTAATGTCCTGATAAAATGTATTAAATCTTTTAAGATTTTAATGAATCTAGTATGTGTTTCATAAATCAAGAACTCTGCTAAACCGTCTCCTGGTTTAATAAGAGCAAACTAGGAAATCGCTCTAAGCAGAAACAAAATGCATTTGTATCACACTGAAAAGTAATAGATTTTTAAGCTGAGGGGGTCTTTCTGCGCCTTTTAAGCTGTTTGCTTATTACATTGCTCCAACTCCTTCAAATATTAAACCGCAGGCAAGTCCGTGCTTAACCGTATCAAGATGTGGACTAGCACAAAGGTAAATATTTGTAAGAGGGGAGAAAACAAGGCCAGTGTTTCCTCAACGTCTTAACCATCAGACAAGGACCATCTTGATCTTCTGAACTTAAACCTGACTTTGTGGATCTAGATTAAGGTGAGGGTTAATAGTTCTTTTTTTTTTTCCCTTCAGTTCTTGGGGTGGCACTCGAGGACTTGTTCATGTACCCGACTATCAAGCCAGGCCTCCAGCTTCAGAAGTCTTTCTTAATGATTTTAAGCTTTCTTTCTTGACTCAGATTGCTCCTGCATCCTTACTCCCTTAACATATCACAGACTGACATGGTGCATATGTAAAATCGGTCTTGAGATTTACAGCTGACTGGGGTGGTTGTCAAGGGTGATGGACCCGGAAGCAGCTGTCCAAAGCAAGCCTTCTGACAACCGTTTGCCTTGCCTCCATCCCCTAGCCTGGGACGCTTGTCTCTGTCCTTCCTCCTCCTTCTACTCCTACTGCTCAAGCTCCAGGATGGGTGGGAAGAGGCCTTAGAGACTTTTAAGTGTCACCCTTGGATATGTCCAGCAGGGCAAGCCAGCCCTCCACTCTCCAGCTTCCTTTGTAGATGGGAAAGGTTCTGGGTGAGATGGTGGTTGGGGAGTTGGGGGAGGTGGTGTTGAAGGAATGAAGTGTGTGTGTGTGTGTGTGGGGGGGTTAGGGCTTGAACATTCCTGTGCACAAAAGCTGGCAAGGCTTGTGAGCTCTGCAGGGGAGGGAACAGGCTCCATAAAGCTCTGTGTGGAGAAGCCTGTCCAACCTCATTAGCTGTCACGGGCAACAATACTGATCTGGCAATAAAAGGCGATTCCAAACCTGTTGGTCATTAATCACCCGCCTGACAGTTTCGAATGGAAGTGGAAAAACTTCAGCCCCCTCTCCCTGACCCCCCTCCCCTGGCCCACTGGAGTTTAGAGTTACCTCTGGGTAGACGTATGGTTCCCTGCTACGCACTGGTCTCTTCTCCTGTGGCTTTTCCAGGGACGTTTTCAGTGTAGAGAGGCCACAGGATGGCCAGAGCCTGGAAGCCTGACAGTGAGTCAGAGGCGATCGAGAAAGTTGAAAGGAGCTGGCCTCCAGAGGCCACCTTGTGCCCTGTGGGACACAGGGCTTGGCCCTGGCAGCTGTGAGATCTGGAAGTTTGTCATCTGTTCTCTAGGCCACCTTTCCACACCCTCCCCTGGTTCCCTGGCACACTCGTCTCCTCTTCCTCAGCCACGGAATGCCAGCATACTTACTCTTATGTTCCTTTCTTGGCTGCTACCCTCTACTCCCAAATAAGCAGGATCTGTTCTCAGGAAAACACTTCATCTCCATCTTTTCCATTCCCAGAGGCCCTTTTGTTCCCAGCCCAGTGAAAAGTAATGTCTGATATGTGAGATGGAAAATAGGGGGTGGCCGAGGTGTGTGGGAGCCCCTCAGGTCAGCTCACAGCTTGACTGCCTGCTCTGTCCCTCTGTGCTATGTGCACAGAGAAAGGGACCAAGGAGGAAAGCGGAGTGCAGAGAATCCTTGCAGGCCACCTTGGAGACTGCAGAGTCCTTCAGGTTGCTTGCAGGTGCGTCACAGCACTTGGACCAAGTTACCACTTGGAGGGAGGACATTGGGCTTCTGCTCAGTCTCATAGCAGTTAGAGGGGAGAGCGGTGTGAGGATTAGGCAAGAAGTTCTGAAACTGTGGCCTCTCATGGCTACCGTGCTCTGGATCTGCTGGCAGGCATTGGAGAGTAAGCTGACCGCTGACGCCAGGGAGGGGAGAAGTTGTGACATACAGTGTCTGGAAATAGCCTTCTGCTTCCTCAAACCTTCCTGTGTCCTGGAGCTCCACATTGACCTGGGCCTTGGCTGCCTTTGTTGGTGCTGACTGCTCTCTTTGTGACGTGACTCCTTGCTACTTCTCACAGCACTAGGAAGAGGCCAGTAGCGTCTGTCCACAGTTGATCCATACAGATTCCCCGACAAGTATAAAATGGAGGAGGTGACACAGACTATATTACTTAGGCACACTTCTCAATTCCTTGCACACTGTCATTTCTCTTGTTCTTATGTTTTCATGTTTTCTCTAATCCAGTGTATATTCTTAACCTCAGATACACGTCACAATCACTTTGGGGAACTTTGAAAATATACTAATGCCTGGGCCATATTTCCATCCCCTGATAGACTCTCTCTTTCTCTCTCTCTCTCTCTCTCTCTCTCTCTCTCTCTCCTTTCATGCTTTTTCTCTCTCTCATGCTAGGGATCACCTCAGCTGAAATATCTCATTTTTTTTCTTTGCCTGTTAACTCACTGAAGCATGCTTGCTTCTGTTTACAACAGAAGAAAAAAAAAAAAGTGTGGTTTTTATCTGGGGAAGTAACACACATTAAAGAGCTATATTTTTATTATTTTTTAATATGCATATGTGTGAGGGTCTGTGTGTGGGATTGCGTACACGAGGACCAATGGCTGCAGAGACCTGAGGTGTCAAATCCCTTTGGAGCAGGAGTTATAGGGAGGAACAAACCATATCATGTGGGTACTGGGATTAGAACTCAAGTCCTCTGAAAGAGTGATATGTACTCAATTTTTGAGCCATCTCTCCAAGTGCCAAATCCTCTTTTTTCCTCATGTGTTTTTACTTTAAGGCTTGGCTTGAAATGGTATAGGTTCTATAGAGCTGAGTGGGGAAAGAAACAGTGAGCAAACCAGTACTGTGGCATGGAGGAAGGGGGTTGGGGCTGAGTATTGGTGGATACGTAGAGTTAGGATAAGGGGGCAAAGACAGGTAAGGGCGCACAGCCCATGGAACAGCAATAGTAAACGAGCAGGGCCTGGAATATTTGCGCATGCGCTAGGGACAAGGAGACAGTATGATTGCTGAGTTAGAGGATAGCCTACATCCTTTCTCCTTCTCCAGCCTGGACCAGTTCCTCCTAGATCCCCACAGAGACACCTTGAGTCTCCCAAGCCGAGGCTCTAGGCTGTTCAGGAGCCCCTTCAGGGCTTGAAACCAGTGGGTGTCTCTTGGTCTCTTAATAGCATAGTAAAATCCAGAAAGCAGGGCCCATACACTGTGTTACACAATTCAATACAAATTAATCTGATTTAATCCAATCCAGTCCAATCTGCCACATATTTATTAAGTCCCATTATGTACCAGTTCTAGGCTCTTTCTGAGTCTACTGAATGGACAGTGACACTGGCCCTTCTGAGCAGAGATTCTTACAGGGAGACAGGCAACGGTAACACAGCAGCTAACAGAGGAACCGATTATGCACTGTAGTATGACCGTGTCCTCGAGGGTGTGCACGTGTGGCCACACAGTGATTAGTGGAACATATGAAATAGAAGAGAGCATTTCTAGAGGTGGTAAGTCGGAGGCCAGGCTCGGTCTCACTGATAAGAAAGACTTCTAAAGGAAATAAAGAAGTTGTCAAGTGGATACTCAGAAGAGAAGTTTTCCAGGAGGGGAAGCTAGTGTGAAGGCCACCCCCCGCCCTCCCCCATCTGAGCCTGTGTAGCATGCTTGAGGACAGCAAGGAGACCAGGAGCTGGGAGCCAAGCCAACGAAGGAGACCATGGTGAGAGAAATTAGAGAAGGGACAGGGTGTTGGGTCATGCATGGCCTCAGAAGCCACTGTAGGGACGCTGGCGGTTCCTCTGAGCTTTCTGACCAGTGAGTGGCATGATCTCTTTGGCTGTTTAATTGGGGAGAGGAGAGGAGGTTTGGAGGTATAGAATAAGATCAAGATAGAGGCTGATTGTGTGTGTGTGTGCACGCGCGTTCACCTGCACACTCATGCTAGGGTCTGTTGCAAAGGACTCACGAGTACTGGGCACATGTCCCGCCATGGAGTTGCACCCCAGTCCCTAACCGTTTTGCAAACATGCAGAACTTTTGCAACTCAGTGAAATCTGCCTTTTGGAACATTCACATTTTTCCCCCTTTGAAGTAAGGCCCAGGCTTACCGGGAACCTAGAACTCTTGGGAATGCTCCTGCCTCAGCCTCCTCAGTATTGAGGTTACAGGTGTGAGCTACACGTTCTTTGGAGCCATGAGATGCACGGCATTTGGGTCTTTTAAGAAAGGTTTATTTTATGTGTGTATGCGTGTGTGCACATACACATCTCTGCGAGTGTATTTGTACCACCTATATGCAGGTGCCCAGTGGCATCCAGAAGAGGTTGCTGAGTTCAGTGCACCTAGAGGCACACGTCAGCTTCTGACATGGTACTCTTAACTGAGCCATCTCTCTGGCCCTTCCTTTAGATGTTTGGCCTGACTAGATGAGTCTCAACGTCCAGGGGGCAGTTTCAACAGATGTCTCCCTTTGCTATAGCCTGGACCTGACATGCTCCTTAGAGGTCCATAGGTCTCTAACCTATGGAGCTGTCAGGAGGTGGATGAAACATTAAGGGGTAGGACTTAGTCGGAAGAACTTAGGTCACCAAGGGCAAGCCCTCTGAGGGGATGTTGAGAACCTAACCCCGTTCTCTCTGTTTCACAGCTGCCGTAAAGTGACTAGGCTGCCTCTGTCATGCATCCTATGCCCAAGCAGCAGAGCCGAGTGACCATGGACCAAAGTCTCTGAGACCAGGAGCCAAAATAAACCTTTCTTCTTCATAAGCTAATTTATCTCAGGTATTTTATCACAGCGATTGAAAACTGACTAACTCCCTCCCCACATCAGTATGTAAAGATCTGTCGTTGTCAGTACGGAACGCCACGAGCAAGGATTGAGCAGGTCAGCCCAGGGCAGTAATGACATATCCTTCAAAGCAGCCATTTTGAATGGGCAGTACTTATTTTGTTATCTAAGTCCTGTGGTGCACACTTGTGATGGCGGCATTTGGGTGGCAGGAGTGGGAAGATGGAGAGTTCAAAGCCTGCCGTGGCTATATAGTGCACTGGAGGCCAGAGGGGACTCCAGAGTGAGACCTTGTCTCAAACAAACAAACTGTCATGTGACATTATTGCTTCTGTGTTTCTCTTACTGCTGATCCAGGGCTTGGCACATAACACACTCAGTAAGAACCTGAGGAGGGGAATTAAACTGTGGGCATGGTAGAGTGGTGTTAATTTGCAAGGCAGTATTAGAAATTCCATTTGGATGTCTTAGTAAAGCTTTAAGATTGTTTTCGCATGCCGAAAATTTTTAATATCTTCTATTTATTTCACAACCTCATACGTGTATAAAATGCATTTTGATCATATCCAGCCCCTAACTCTTCCCTCCCAACTCTCCTCCAGGAACCTCCCAACACACCACCTCTCTCTCTCATGTGTTCTCCTTTTTTCGTGGTTGATTCTGTGAGTAGGAATGTCGACTGGTTGTTGGTTTGGCCCTGTGCAGGCTGCTATAGTGCAGTGATTTCATGACAGCATTAGCTGTGTGTGTGCGTTGTGTGTGTTGCGTAGGTCAGAGGACAACTTTGTGGAGTTGGTTTTCTCCTTCCACCTTCTTGGTGGGACTCAAACTTAGCTTGCCCCTTCATGGCAAGCAAACACCTTTAGCTACTGACCCATTGCCTCGTCTTTTAAAAAGACAGGCTCTCACTATGCTGGGTTTGACCTTGTATTTCCCCAGCACCAGTCCCAAAGTGCTATGGTTACTGGCATGCACACACACCAGCTTGGGTCAACTCTAGCTAATGTTGAGGCCTAAACTAATTTAGTCATCTTCCATAAAACTGAAACGTGCATACATATATAATACATACATACAAACATGCATAATACATGCATACATATATAGGAGAATGTTTTTACTTTGCTTTCTTCTTTCCTCCTCCCCCACCCTCAGGTTTGCTTTTTTTTTTTTTTTTTTCAATTTTGAGATGGGATCTCTGTGTAGCCCTGGCTGTCCTGGAACTCACTCTGTAGACCGGGATGGCCTCAAACTCACAGAGATCCACCTGCCTCTGCCTCTGCCTTCCAAGAGTTGGGATTAAAGGCATGCTCCACCACTGCCTGGCTACTTTCCTTTCTTAAGAGGCAAAGATGACCAGGTTTCTGTTAAGCTTCTAACAATTCCATTTAAAATAAATAAGTAGCCGGGTGGACAACCCAGTCTGCCACCTGTAAGCAACGTTTCTGAGTGGCTTCTTCAGGTGTCAGTCACTGGAAGGGACATAAGGTCACAGGAACTTCCACCTTTGCCCTCATGTCACTTCCTGTATGGTACTTCCTGTTTGGTGGGAAAATAGAACCATGAAAACAATAAATAGGCTATGTCCAGTCCAGCCATGTTCTGGTAGGGACTCCAGCAGGTGAGAGAGTCTCCTCAGGTCCAGGTGCTAATATTCTTTAAAGATGCCTTAGTGTGAGTTAAGTTAAGAGCACCCAGAGGACCCGAGTTCAATTCCCATCGCCCACGTAGCGGTTCACAACCACTATACCTCTAGTTCTGGGGGATCTGACAGATACACAGGCAGGCGAAACATGAATGCACATTAAAAAAAAAAAAAAACAACAAAAACAAAAAAAAAAACAAGAAAAAAGATGCTTTAGTGAATTTTAACACCCCTTATTTCAGTAGTCCTCCAACCCACTCTCTAATAAAATCAGTGTCACTGCTGAAAGGATATTAAAAGCCAACCATCTCATGCAATCCCTTATTCTATGTATCAATGCTAGTTACTTTTGTATAGCTGTGACCCAGACATCTGATGGAAACAACCTAAGGTAAGAAAGGCTTATTCTGACTGAGGATTTTAGTCCATCCTGGCAGGGAAAAACATTTCGGCAGGAGTGTATGGCCTAACTGTTCTCATATTACCTGACCAGGAAGCAGAGACTGGCCAGAACTAGGGGCCTGGGCCATAAATTTCAGGGGCTCACTCCTTGTGATGTCCTAGAGTCCACTTCCTAAAAGGTCTGGCAGCCTCCCCAAATCTTGATACCAGGACCACGAGTCTGTGGGGGGACATGTCAATCAAAGCATAACATTCTGCAAGGAAGAAGATGGAGGCCAGTGATGAGGCATGATCCTTGGAATGCAGAGCTCTGAAGGGCTCTGGATTTTAGTCTGCCCTTCAGAAAAGGGCTGTAGGATGGAGGTCATTGGAGCATCGTGTATCACAGGGAGGAGAGGCAGGTGCCAAGTGGGAAGGGTCCCTAACTGTGTGTGTATATGGTGGTGTCTGAAAGAGGAGAGGCTGTGGTCCAAAGGCATGGCAGGCTGAGCCACAGCAGGGGCACACCTAGGCAAGTCACAGTTGGAAAATGCTAACTGTTAATTCTTGTTTTCCAAGGCACACAGCCCTCCCACAGTTGGAGAGGCTGGAGCAGGGCAATCACAGAGGCTAGGAATGCCTAAAGGGCTGAACATTAGCTGGCAGTAATTATACCAGGCTTCAGTAATGAGCTGAACTCCTCAGCAGGGGTCCCTTCAGTTCCAACCACTGGACTGGAACAAAGACCAGAGCTGGGACACCAACAGGAGAAAGGTCGCCTGTCCCTGCTCCTGACCAGAGCCCTTCAGGGAACAGCGATAACTGTCACAGAGAGCCTCTCAGTGCATTCTCATTGTGGGCAGAGGACCAGCACTAAGTTTTCTCTCCTCCTCTCCAACTCTTGCTCTCACTTTCCCTTCCCTCTGATCATTTCCCTTCTTCTCCCCCTTTCCTTTCTCCTTCCTCCCCTTTTCCATGTAGCCCATGCTGTTCCTGAACTGGCATTCCTCTTGCCTCAGCCTCCCAAGGCTGGGATTATACCAAGCACCACCATGTCAGGTCCACAGTGGACTCCCATCAGGGCACTGTCAGGCATCACGTTCTTGGGGCAGCGAGCCTGAGCCAGCGCTCTGAGAACATCTCCTCTTATCTATAGTGTACATGGCATTCCCTAAGCGTTCAAAAGAAATTACAGCTGTGTAATTGTGGGTCTGGAGTAGTGTTCTAGAGTCTGCATTACAACAGGCTCCCAGAAGCTGGGTGTGTCGGCACACTTTTAATCCTAGCACTTAGGGAGGCAGAGGCAGGCAGATTGCTTTGAGTTAGAGGCCAGCCTGGCCTACAAATTGAGTCCAGGATAGCCAAGGCTACATAGAGAAACCCTGTCTTAAAAACAAAACAAAGCAAAGCAAGCAAGCAAACAAACAACAAAACTCAACAAGCTCCCAGGTCATGTGGATGCTACACAGTCACTATAATCGGAGACACAAGCCTTTAAGGAAGCTAATGGGGAACAATTCATAGGGATTCGTGTTCCCCAAGTCATTGTCCTATGACCGTGTTCTCAGTGCTTCCCACCTTTCCGGCCCCTTTACATACTCTCTGCTTTTCTGGATCTTATTCAGCCCTAGTTGCTGGCCTCTCTGAACACTGTTATGGGCCTTACCACCTCTCCTGCTCACTCATTGTCTGGACTAGTCCACATGTCCACCCCTCCTTCCCCCAGCTAGATTGCTGGTTACTTGCGTGCTACTTGCTTCCGTCTGTCCCTTTAGGACAGGAGACCAGAGGGAGAGGCAGTACACTCCAGGCATTGGTCCCCAGGATCGATCTGCCCTTTGGAGCCAACGTCTTCTCTCCTAAGCCCCCATGTCACCTTGCTCAATTGGCCCAACGACACTCTTCCAGGTCTGTCTCTTGGCCCCTATTGCCTGTGATGTTGTTTCTGGAACAATAAGATGGATTCAGTGCATGTCCCAAGAGAGCCCTGTGTTCCGGAATGGGGGTGACATAGTTTTCTTTTGGCAAAGGAGGAACCACCCAGTGAGGCAGGCCAAGGCACCATTGATCTGAGTCCAGTGAAAAGTGGCTTCTCAGGAGCCCTGGATCCCAGCCCACTTCTAGACAACTTCTTTCAACTTCCTTTCATGTTTTTAACTTCACAAACATGCCAGCTTCCAGCTGCCCCTCAGAGACAGTGGCAGAGAGAGTGGTGTGGTGGGGAGGAGCTCACGGCAGGGCACCGAGACAGTTGTGTGGGCAGGTTTCATCCCATGAGGGTCTGACCTTGTAGTATATAGGTGAATGGATTCAATGCTGCGGCCCTCACACTAACACAGTGATGATCCAGCCCTGCATATTAAAGTCGAGAAACATACTGCCACAGAGGCAAACTCACCCCCTAAACCCCTCACACACACACACACACACACACACACACACACACACACACACACACAAATACTTAACCAATTAAGTCTGTCCAGCACTATTTGCAGATGACGGTGTGGAATTGTGCTGGAGTTGTGTCCGGCCTCATTAAATGTCAGGCTTAACAATACGGCACTTGGCAATCAAGGCTGCTCCGTGGCTGTTAGTCATTAATCACTGGCTGACAGTCCTGAATTGAAAACGAGGCTCTGCTCACATGTGCTCCGGGTACCCAGTTCCTTTCTTGGTAATCAGCTTCAGTGAAGTTTTTTTGACCCCCTGCCTGTGAAGGCCTCCGGTCTGGCAAGGGCCAGAAGGTCACTAGGCTTGGTTTGCCTCTTCTCCCCAACCCACACTGGGAAAAGCGGCTGAGGTCCTGGGGGTGAAAACATACATAAAAGGTGAGCATATTGTTTTTGGCCTGCTCTTTCCCTCGTAGGCATGTTTTATATATCCTTGTTTTTTCTATTCTGGCCTCATGGGCAGGAAAGTTATTATGTTTTTTTTCCCTGAAGAGATCC